ATCACTTGTAGATGTTTATAGATTAGTGTGTTTATTACTGGGACCAGGCGAAAGATTGATGAAAACAAACTAGAATGTTAGTTTAGCATCATGATATCTCAGAAATCTGGTTGCCTATATATATATATATATATAGCACATTTTTCTCTATGTTAGACTGGGTGGAGCTGAAATAATCTTTTAAACAACAGATGATTGTGCAATACTGCACAAAATGCAATATTTCATACCCTGAAGCTGTTATGACATGTTTCATTTAGAAGCCTGTGATTACATGTCCAAGACTTTTATTACTATTTTGTCACAGTAGTTAAAAGCTGTAAATGCAAACTTTTAAGGAGTGCACTACCTCCTGTTAGGGATGTTGTTATCATTTGTCTCCACCTAAAAAAGTACACAACAGGGTTTAAGTAAAAAAGGATTTTCTAACAACATTATAATGAGGTGTTGCAAACACTGCACAAACAGGTTTAAAGCTGAGTACGAAGGGCTCGGACAAACCTAGAGTGGAGAAAGAGACACAGAACCAGCATTCATAAGGAAGTCTGGTTGGAATCAAAGACGATTTTGAGCAACTTGTTTTTTGCTTTAATTGTGTGATTTAAAAAAAAAAATCAGATTTTTAAAATTCTACGAAGTATTTGTTTCTTTATTTGTTTTTCTTTGTTGTTTTTTGCCCTCACGAGCCTCCTGGAGAGACCCAATTCAGTTTACCCAGCAAGAGGACTTTGATACTGTTATTCATTCAGAGTTTTAACTATTAACTTCTTTTGAGATATAACCTTCAAGCGTTATAGACAAATCAACTGAAGTGAGAAAACTGTAAACTTATCTGATTTCAGTTTTTAATAAAGTTTGATTACTGATGGGATAATTCTGGATTTTTTTCCCATGACTTGATCAAATATATTGATATCAATCTCAGTGAGGTTATTCTAAATGTAAATCTGTGATTCATAAATGTCATTCATTTCTCTTGGCAATTAGGGTTTTCTGCTTACAAGATAGAATCATTCAGATTAATTTTATATAATAAATCTCAGACTGTTAATCTGAAAAATAAAATTGCACTATGTAATTTTATGGCACTGCAGATTTTTTATGAATAAACACAAAAAGTAGCTCTATCAATGGCTTTATAATTTGCTTTACTTAGAGCAGGGGTCGGCAACACAAACTGTTCAAACAGCCATATTGGACCGAAAAAAAACAAAAATAAATCTGTCTGGAGACGCAAAAATATAAAGGTCTTATGTATGCCTCGTATGGCAACACGGGCTCTTAGTGTATTAGACCACTATAGAAAAGGACTATATGGGCTTAAATATATAATAACCATTCATGATTAAATGTTTTTTTCCTGGAGCAAATGTCACGTCGTAGCATGAGGGTGAGGGAGGTGCAGTGAACGCTCCCACCATGAGGAATTCGCCGTGTGCTGCTTCACCGCACGGTTTAAGTTTTATTGCATTGATGAAGTTATGGAAATATGATAAAGGAATCTTTCTATGCTGGACGTGTTTCTGTTGGGAGTAGCTGTTTGAGTTATGAGGAACCAAGCAGGAACTGACATTCATCAGAGCAGTGCTCTCTAACCCTGAAATCCCACATTCTCCGTCACCATCGTTCCTCGGTGCGATTTACTATAATTTCATGATTTGGGGAAATAATGGAAGAAAGTTCACATACCTGCATCAGAGCGCTACCTGTTTGATTGATCTGTGGACGGTTTTCCATCCTTGCAACCAAACCAGCAGCAGTAGTGGAGTTTGGAGATGCAATCCACTTCTTAAATTCATCTTTCCCCGACTTAGACAGACAAGACTTTCTTTGCATTGTTTTATTTTTTTACCGTATTTTCCAGACTTTATTGCGCACCTCACTATAAGTTGCACCCGCAAAGGTTTTTTTTTTTTTTTTTTTTTTTTATTATTATAGACGTACATTTACTGGTTGAACGCTGATATCTATTTAACTGTTCCCCACTAAACGTATGAAGGCAGCTCTACATCATATCACCCTAGACAAGGGATGAAGAAGAATGCTAGTTTCCGTTAGCTTGTTGGCTTGGCACTGTAACTACCAGACCTGTACTATCAGATCATTTGCACATCTGCAACCAGATATACTTCCGGTTGCCCTTAATTTTGTGAAAAAAAAACTTAAGCAGGTTTTTCCCTCCCCAAAAATAGTAAGTGTGCTAAACTATAATGTGTTACAAGTTAATAATGTATTTCCTGAGAAAATAAATGCCTTGAAATACTTTCTGTTTTATCACTCGTCTGTGCCCGATCGGCTCAGGAAATGGGATCCTGTGCTACTTCACGGAGCTTAATTTTTCAGCTTTAGATTTAAACATAAATCTACTTTTATCAAAGTTTTATTTTTTCTTTTCATGTTAACTTAATGGTATATAGTGCGTAATCTAAAGAAAGAAACAACTAAAATGCAGATAAACATGGTTTAATCATATTTTGCCAGACTGCTCTGAGAATGTCAGATGATGAGGTCACACAAGCAGTTTAAAGATGTGTATTGGCATTCTTTAGTGAGTTAAGGATAGAAATAAGTAATTTTAGTACCATAATTACATTATTTCTGTTATGCAGGAGTTGCACAAAGTCTCTTTAATGCAACAAATAAATGAGAAAATGTGTAAAATTTGGGACATTTTTTCTCCTCCCTTCCTCCCCTTAACATCTGCATGTGCTAAATAAAGTTAGCCCCCTTTTGACTTTCACCCCCTGGTGGTTAGGAAAAATACACAGAAAAGCCGCACCTTCATGGTTCAAAGCGTGGGAAAAAACAATAACAGCTTATAGTCCAGAAAATATGGTATTTCTTTTCTAAAGTGTTGTTTTTACATCTTGGATTATTGAGAATATATGTTTCTATCTATTTTACCTTTCCTGCATATACTGCATCTATACTTGAGCCTTTTTGCAAGTCCAAGTTATTAAAAGTAAGGTTTTCCAAATGTTAGTCTCTCCTTTTTGAGTTAATTTTCTGTTTCTCCCTCTATATGGCGTCACCAAATTCTGAAGCCTCCTTTGTTTGCTTCTGAAGCCCTGCCTGCCAGTTGTTTTTCTGTGTGAATTGAAAATGACATTGTGTACAAAGCAGGCTGATGTAATCCCAGCAGAGAACATATTGATATTCACAGACAGGTCTCTGCAGTGATCAGCACCTGTTAAGGCATACAGAGGGGAAACATATTATTGTGAAAACAAAACTATGGTGATATCAGTAAATCTTTCCACTATCATGCTATTAGCCACCTGCTGCTCACCTCTTGTGTGTGTATCTGTCCCCATCATGAAACTACATTTATGTGCAAATTTACAAATCATTGATAAATCTTCACTATTTCCATAATTTTTCATGCTAAAGCAACAAACTATGTGCTTCTCTTACAAGTTACTTACTTGGATTTGTGTCTAACCTTGCAGAACACATTAATTATGTAAACGTGATGCAGAAAAAAATGCAAGTTTGAAAATGTATGTATTGTGCAGTTTGTAGATTAGGATAATAATAAAAGGTATACAAAATGGCTCTGTGTTTAGCAACACAATCAGTGGTGCACACACAAGCTTGTGTTGGGCTCATCCAAATGAAATAAAGAGTTAGAATTATATTATAAACCAAGTCCATACACTCTGAATCCCATCATCCAGCATAACAAGATTCATTAAAGATGAACATGTTTGCACAGCTGCACATGGAGGACTGCTGTTAGTCATCCTGAGCTCATGTCCTTCTGGCTGATTGTCCAAAACATTTCCGTCTGGGTGTGTCTGAGGTCATGCAGCAGCAAGAGATAAACAGTTTTATATAAAAATTGAATCTTCACTCAGCACTGAATTAAATGTTTGTTATGTTGCTTTGGGCACATGCAGTTGTTTTGGAAGCAGCAGGTTTGAACTGTGTCTCTACAGAGGTGTGTTAGAGCAGCTTTCATTTCACGTCAGAATGTCTTTAAGTTCTGTATTTTTGTGGATGTGTCTGTGACTGTAACTGTATTCCAGATTTTTGCAGAGGACAGTATTTTTCATCCTGCAAGGATTAAGCATTCCTTAGATAAAATGGAACAAACCCAAGTCAAAATGCTTCCTATTTAGTCAGAATTGCATAACTGGCTTTTTAACATGCTGATAACCAAACCTCCAGGTGTGTTCATTAATATCTCTCTGAAAGGTTTGAATTCTGGAAATCATTTAGGCTTCTCTCCTCCTTCTATCAATGCAAATGTATGGTGAAGATTTTTATTGGGCTCTAAAACTCGTGTGATTTCCACAGGTGGGTAGTAACTAGAAAAAACCTGTTTTGTTTTTTGAAGTGCTCCAGACAAAATGTGGAAAAACTCACTTTTTTCAGTCTTGACATAGAACTGTACTTTACAAATAAATAATAAATTCTAAAAGTTGAAATGACCAATAGCAAAAATATAAAATAGAATAGAATAGAAAATCCCTTTATTGTACCACAATGGGGATATTGTGGTGTTACAGCAGCAAAAGATCATAGTAAAAGTGGTCTCACAAATGTGGACCTTAAAATAAAATACTGCACTGTGTTTTTACTATAGTTGTGAATATAAATACTGTGCATCTGGAAAAGAAATAATATACAGCTGTGGACATTTTTACAGTAATAGATATGTGAAAATAGCAGCAACCCCAGAGAGGTGCAAAATGACAGCAGCTTGTTATTTAAGTGACTGAAATAACAGGGGGAGTGTTGGCAAGTTTGCAAGTACCCATTTCAATCCCCACAGCCTCCCCTCTGGGTTCTTGNATTTATGTAGGAGCAATTGTGTAAGCATTGCCCACTGTTTACTAGTCATTTGGGAGAATGGAGGAAGGTTTTTGTTTTCTGTCCTCCATTTCTGTTTCTATAATCAATATGCATGTTTCCAGTAACACGTGAGCTAACAGTTTGAACAACAGCAAACAAAGTAATGTAACAAGATCTTTTCCATTCTGTTCATCTCTACACAGAAACTGGACCTGTAGACCCCGTCCTTATCGAGCGATACAACAGCCCAGGTTTTATAGGCTGCCTGTCTAGGGTGCAATTCAACGGAGTTGCTCCACTCAAGTCTGCACTGAGGAAAGCTGCAGAAACTCAGGCTGACAGTTACCCTGCATCGGCCTCTCCTGTATCCTACCAGGGCAAACTTGTACAATCCAGCTGTGGGGCTTCGCCTCTCACCGTCCCACCAATGTCTGCTGCACCAAACCCCTGGCCTCTGGACAACACACGTGGGTGCCTCCAAAATTTTTTACAAAATGAAACTATGTGACACTAAAACTTTTACACGTGAGGAGTTCTGGATTGATCATATTGACCTTTTTTTTTTTTTTTTTATCCTAAATGCAAAATGTTTATATATTTTTTACATTTTTATATAATTACTGCTCTAAGTGGGTTTCTCTGTCAGCTAACAGCATGTTTTACAGTTTCTCTATTCAATCTCTATTCAATATCTCAATTAATCGATTAATAAATTAGTTGACAATTATTTCAATAATTGATCAGTCATGATTAATCTCATGAAATGTTTCAGCCCAAATGAGAAGCTTTTATATTATACCTTCAAACCTCTGATGTATTCCTGATATCTTGTATCATTGCTTAAAATATGGGGAAAAAGTAACAAGACATTCTTTTTTGTTATAAGTCTAATGCCATAATGGATACATTTTTAAAACAAAGTTCTGCATTTATTAATGTAATATGTAGAATTGAACCCTTCTAATCAATCTGGAATAATTTCTGGATTAAATGTGAGTCAAAGAAGTATGAAGGCTTTAGATAATTAGACTATTGTCAGAAAGAAATCACTCTAAGTTTTTTTAAAACATTCATTCTTCTTTGAGATTTTGAGCCATTTTGCTTATTTACAAATTCCAGCTTGAATGTGTTTTATTTGGCATTTATTTGAAAAAGTCGGCACAAAAACTACTACTGTAGATATCCTTTCATTTAATATATTTTTTATAACAAAAAGTCTCATTTTCAGCTTTAGTGAATGTGGAATATGAATTTCTAGTCATTCAAGAGTCATCAAGCCTTTTTTTACTGCACAAAAAAAAAGATGATCCAAGAGGCAGAAAACACATGCATGCTCTCACACAAGGTTAATAGGCGTGTAGATTTTTTCTGAAGTGGAGAGGATGGGTCTTTTCAAAAATAGGTGAAAATCCTCCACTATTCCTTTAACTTACTTATAAACTTTTGCTATATATATATATATATATATATATATATATATATATGTGTGTGTGTGTGTGTTCAATTTGCTATTAACATGTTGATGATGCCATTGCTATGATGTGTTTAAAGAATATAAAGAAACGTAAGTGTTGATTGTCAGGGGACCAAAATGAAATAAATAAATAGAAACTCTTTCTAACAGAAACGCTAATAAATATTTTCTAATTGATCTGTCCCTCTTTTTTCTCCTTACAGATGCGGAGCCACCCTCCAATGAGGAGCGAGTCATTCCAGATGGAGTTAACAGGGACTCCGCTATCATTGGAGGTGCAGCATGATTACTTACTACAGCGCTGAAATATATACTGAGGCAAACGCTTTCATAGTCTAACCTGGTGTACAAACTCATTGAAAAAATGCGATAAGCAGGCACATAAAGACGCTGGTCACATTGGGAATACAGCCTTTCACAAAACAAGTGCAATTACTGACATTACACAAATGTGGAGAACAGCTTAAAATCTCCATTACAAACCCACAACATATGAAGTATGTGTCACACAGAGTACACCTAAAAAAATAATGTATTTTATCAAACTTAGTGAGGTATGTATGTACATCTTTGCACAACTGTGCAAACTATTGTGGGCAACAGTTGAGCTCCTAGTGATGACTGGGAGCATCACACACCGTCCTTTCAGCCAGTACCTTTCAGACAGAGCTCTTTATGGCGACTGCTTTTAAAGTGATAATAACCTAAGACAGTTGGGCAAATTAACACAGCAGCCCTTAGATCTGATCCTATAGAAACACTGTGTGCTGAGCCAAAGTAAAGAGTCAAAGGTGACCCAGAAATCTGGATGATCTGGACAAAATAGGATTGTATAAATTGTATAAGCATACAACTATGTGCTCCTTAATTCAGCTCAACTAGGACACCAATGGCAACTCCATGTAGGAAGAAAAATGTTAAAAAAACAACTTGTTAAGTACGAGTCTAGGCTACAAAAACAAGCAGAATAACACTGCAGTTTGGTGTTTTGGCAACAGGTGGCATTGTCAGCGAACTGTAATGCCTCTTATAAGTTCCTCTAAATCATTCTGGTACTGGACATGTAAAGGAAAAAGAATTGAGTTGATGAAGCACAAAGGATGAATAACTACATAAATTAAACATATTGGTCTCTTCTGCAGGCATCATCGCCGTGGTGATCTTCACCATCCTGTGCACTCTGGTGTTCCTGATCCGGTACATGTTCCGTCACAAGGGCACCTACCACACCAACGAGGCAAAGGGCAGCGGCGAGTCAGCCACAGAGTCAGCTGACACGGCCATCATCGGCACCGACAACCCAGAAACTATTGACGAATCAAAGAAGGAGTGGTTCATTTAACAGGCGGATGATGGAACTCAGAGAAAGCAGGAAAATGCGAGACCATCGTTCACAGATGAAGTCTAATCATACGACCGATCACTGGCGATAAAAAGGAGTGACTGTTCAAAAGGACAACAAACTCCCTGAGAAGATGAGCGATGTGAGATATTTCTGTTCCTTTTTTATATCCAGAGTATTAGAAAAAGAAGAGACACTGATCCTGAGGAGCACAGCTGTAAAAGACTGTACATGTATATACTAACCAGATTATCCTTCTTTGTATTGTGCTTGGGAGTTTTCAGGAGTCTTTTGAATACTGTGTGTGACAAATAATTACACTTACTGGGTGGTGTAATAGCAAAGATTTATTGCCAGTTCTCGTTTGGTTTTGATTTTATATTTAAACAGAAATCTTATATAAGAAATGATCAAATCGACATGCCAAACATTTTCTTCTTTTTTTATTGGTTGTTTTTCATGCTGTAGACGCACCATTCTGTCAACAGTCACATTCGTCCAGTGGAGCACACCCTGTAATGTGTTCACATAGAGTTTATCATGGATGCCAAAAGTCTCTTTGTAAATATATTTTGTCAGTTTTCCAAAAAAAAGATTTATTTAGAGTCCGAATGCCAATAAGAAATGGCTATATCTATATTACAGTGATATTTGTCCATGATATTATATATGTGTAAATTACAGAGTTTTATGTTTAGGTCTCATGACATTCGATTGTATGAGATGTTCCTGTCTGTGGCGGCGCAGAGACGGGTTTCTCGGAACATAATGACGCTCCACGGTTGGTTTTAGCTCATCATTATGGCAGCTTTCTTTGTGTTTATGAAGGAATCCAAGAGCCTTTACTCATTCAGGCATAAGTGATCCGTTTGTTTTCTTTGCCAAACACTTCAGTCTTATTTCCAAAGTTTGCGAATATTATTTGGTTTTGAATGTTTAATTTTTTTCTTTGTGTTAAATGAACCGTCTATGATGTACGCATGTATCAGTGTGTGTAGGTCAGTTGCTAAACAAGTGCCAGAGGAGGCAGTTTTTCTTTACAAGGTTTTGCATTAAGAAAACCTGAAGCAGCATGAAAAAGGAACACCTGAGCAACACCTGGGATGAGGTTAGGATGATAATTGGCTAATGAGTCTGCTGTGCCTTTAAGGTGTCGAGCCATATCGCCTTCCCCCCGTTACTTCGCTTAAACCTGTAACAGAAACTTGACTGATGCTGCATGAAATCTAATCAGGTTTAGCTTTTGCTTCCTATGTAAAATGGTGCTCTTCAGTTTCCAACAAATCCTGGCAACAGAAATGATCCTACCAGTTTTTCTTGCGTTATAAAATATTTCAGCGACAAAGTGAAGCACCCAAATGGAGCGTTGGTTGGTAAATAAAGCAGTTTGTGAAGTGATGAGTGTAGTTAATGTGGCGGTACAATTACGGTCACATCTTGGCGACATTCTCTCTGACCAGGATGCAGTCCAGATCTGTGACCTTTATTAGAATCTGAACAGATTTTATGATTTTAGCATTTAAAAAATTATATTATAGAGCCAAGATTCAATTCAATTCAGTTTATTTATATTGCGCCAATTCACAACATGTGTCATCTCAAGGCACAAATTGATTCAAAGTTTTCCATCAAAGGAAAACCAGTTGATTGCATCGACTCATTGACTCGAAGGCAATCCCTCTAACCAAACATGTTTGTAGCAACAGTGGAGAGGAAAATTCCCTTTTAAGAGGAAGAAACCTCGAGCAGAACCAGGCTCATTGTGAGCGGCCATCTGCTGAGGCCGACTGGGGTAGTATGATTATTGTAGAATAGCTGAGTTCATGCTGATCTCCATCTAAGGTGGTTTTCATGATTTAGAAAAAATATATACTGTTTGGTATTTCCCCCCAAAAAATAGCGATTTCATTAATCTCCTAAAAAAACACAAACTAAAAAAAACAAAATTAAATAGACCATTTTATTATTTAGAGCTAAACTTTAGCTTCATAAGCCAGCTGTGGTATACAGCTGTATTTACAAACGAAGCTAACACTATAAATAGAACATGGCCGTACCTGCTCCCATTTTACTCACTGGATTGACTGTCAAAAAACTGGCTTGACTGCAGTTTATCGGTTATTTGTTTGTAGTCGTGCTGACCCCCGACACAGTGCCCCCCTGGACAAAGAGCCATATTGTCCATTGTAATTGCATTCTGCTGCATCCTCTTGTGGTAAATCAGCCCATTCTTAGTAGTTCAGGCCCTTCATTTTTGTTAAGCCATGATGTGAGAGGAGTAAAAGCTTAACAATTTGCTTTCCCAGAAAGGCTAATGTCCTTTGATGGCTGTTCTAAATGTGCCATCTCTTTCCAAACTGAATTTAATGCGTTACTGGTATGCATCA